AAATGTCCCGTTTTGGAAATTGGTCTTTTTTTTTTCCCCCCAGGCAGGGGTTTTGGGCAGGGGTTTTGGTTCCAGCAGTTCCAACATTTCCAACAGTTCCAGTTTGTTGGACAGCAGCAGGGGTAGCGCCCTTTTGCTGAATATTTTGGGGGTTTGTACACAGCAACAAGGGGGGAAAACAGGTTTTCCTCCCTGGGGGGGGGGGGGGGGGGGGTGGTTTTCAAACCGGCGAAAATCTTTGATGTGACCAACCTGTATTTGTCGCCTGTCGATGATTGTAGCCCTGCCCCCCTTGCCTTCAATGGGAATGCCAAGCCTAGGCATTCCTTGTCCATAGGCAACCGCCACGCTATCATTGGAACTAGTCATGGACGCCAGAACATGCTGAAGCACTACCGTTATTCCCGGCCATGTCGAAATGGGTAATGTTTGTACCTGACCACGTATCGTTTGCTACTCGACCGCCTGTAATTTGGTGGCAGAGGGATAGGCATTTGCTACTGATGATACCACACCAACCAACGCCCCACTTTCCACGTTTTAGCGTCCCATGGGTATTTCCAGGTGCCGGTGACAACGGCTCCTGCACCATTCATGACGGGCAGCTCCGCATCAATCTCAGGTGAGTGTTGAACCTATGGACGTCGACATCAATGACATGGACGGAGAATAGTACGTAGGGTATATGTGTCTGCCCATGTCCCCCGAGGTTTCGTGTCTGCCGTATCGTTTTTTGTTACTCCAGGCGAAGGCGTGACGAGTTGGTGCAATGTTGTTGAGGTTTGCCATACTGAATGTTCGTTTGCCTATCGTTCCGCGTTGCTCAGCACGCGATGATCGCTTTTTTCCGGCCGTTTCGGACGTGGTTTATAGCCGCTTTGTGCGCGCACGTTCTTTCTTCCCTCGGGCGTGACTCATCGTTCCCCTCACACCCCTCGCTCTGTCGCTTGCGCGGCAATGCCCTTCACCGAATTACAGATGCGGTGTGGAAAAAGCGCCGATCCGCCTTGAGTTCGTGTTGTACGAAACTCACGCCCTCTCTCACGCGGCAGACTGAACCTTGGGTACGGGTAAGGCCTCAACAACCAACCGGGTGAGAACGACAGCACGTTGGATTGTTCGACGTTTCTGGTAGCCGGTAATCATGGCGAGCGCTAAGGATATTGCTGTTGCCAGCTTCTCGCCTCCTCACTGTTGTCGCGTCACACATGGGTAAGGAGTTAGGGTTGTGTACCACGGAGGAGATGCTTGGCATCGCGAATGACAATTAATTATCATCGATGGAAGTTTTCAACGCAAGCAAACCACCTTGCTTGATGGCTGTAACTGCACGAGCGTGCGTAATGGCGAGTCAGAGGGGGACGAGGGCAGCAGTGAAAATACATAGTGCCCAGCAGTTTCTGAAATGTGAAATAAGAAATAAGGGACGTGGGGGCACAAACCCGAAAGAAACGGGGGGTGGTTTCTGCGTCCCCCCGGCAACCAGTTGCAGGTGACGGGAGACGAGACCACAGATACGATAACATCAGAGCTTTCATGGGGTGGCAACAGCCACATCAAAGAAGAAGAAACGAAGACAACCAGAGCGCCAATCTCGTGGCGCGTGCTTCATCGATCATTATTGCGCAATGCCAGCTAGTGGGAAAGAGGTTTCGCTGCGCAACAACATTGTACTTCTACTATTTACATAGACTATATATACTTTACATATGCATATATGCATGCATGTAGACACCGTATCGCTGCAGGATCCAGGCACGCACCCGCCCGCCTCCAGACCTAGCTTCCCTCAACTATTTAAGCGGGCTTTGCCTGACTGGACACACGCGCGGGTGTTCTGCGCAACTCAGAGCCCCGTTCCGTAGGCAGCAGTGTTCCCTCCACGCGCGCGCCTCCCGCGGCGTATTCAATTCCACACAGCATGCTACTTGTACAACATTTGTTTGTACTGACATATGTAGATACTGTATCGCTGTAGGATCCAGGCACGCACCCGCCCGCCTCCAGACCTAGCTCCCCTCAGCTACTTAAGCGGGCTTTTCCTGACTGGACACTTTTCTCGACTGTGGTCGGTGCGGTAGCTGTTCTTTTATTTCTATCATTTTGTTTTCTTGTTCCGAGTGGTTTGTACTCTGTTCTTGTTTTGTTTCCCCGCGGCGTCGTATGTGCCGGGTTTTGCGACCATGGGCTCCCCATTTTTGTGGACTATAGAGCTAATGTGAGAGAAACAACAACAAACACGCGCTGGTGTTCCGCGCAACTCAGAACCCCGTTCCGTATGCAGCAGTGTTTCCCTTCACGGCCAAGCCTCCCGCGGCGTAATCCATTCCACCCAGCCATTTTTTTTTTTTGTCTTTATGGTCTGTACTTCAAATAATCAGCGCTCTCAGCTTTTAGTAGTATTAGTGCCGTTTACTCCAACCCGTGGTCACACAGAAGGGCCCCTCTCTACCCTCCCCTCCTACGGTACGCTGCCTTCGATTTTTAATGCGATAAGAGTTCAGCACTCCCTTCCCTCTGTATGCACACGAACTACATGTAGCGCTATCCACTAGGCCAGGAGCGGAAGCGAGAGAAAAACTCACTTTGCAAGAAAAGCTCGCTTACGCCGGGATTCGAACCCCTGACCTGACCTCTTGGAGGTTTAGAGGATATACTGCTGTACTTCCAGTAGTTAAAAAGATCGACGCTACGGGAGACTCGAACTCCCGACCTCTACCACCCTAAGGTAGAATCATAGCCAACTAGACCAGCAGCGCCGGACGTGATGCCTACCGCCTATTGTCTTTGTAAAAACCTGCGACGCCTATTGTACTATACTTGAAAGAAAGGCCGTCCGGCCGATATTTGATGCGGGCTGTCCGGCCTACAGTCAGTCAGTATGACATAGAGCGGGTTCGTTCCTCATCGGATCGGATCATGCGAGACATCGGTATTGGTATTGGTTGCGACATGATCATCGAAGTTGCCCAACCTTACATAAAAGAAGCTCGCTCTCGGGCGGTTCGGTGGGCACAGAGCTCAGTGCGGCGTTTCTAAAACTAACAGCAGTGCAGAAGAATGGAACATGTCACGGGGCGGAACGTTACAGGACAGCTTGAGGTAAAAAGGTGTGTAAAGTCTTCTCGCGAGTATTCCACTATGCGCTACAACACAGCAGGTATCTGTGGCTATCGCGAATACGAAATTAATTGTGTGCGGTTGTCCGGTTTTCATCTGCGGTGTAGCGAAGAGGAACTCGCCGAACCTGAGGTAAAAAAATACTCCGCATCTTAGCTACACCGGGCTCTACGCTGTAGTACCAGACCAATCTACAGGCCTTCACCTCCTTTGCCCGATACTTGCAGTATGTTGCCAGTGGCGTCTGACTCTCTCCGCTGTCTGGGTGCCGTTCCTTATAGTTTTCAGTTTTAATGTTCCTGTTTTTTAGTTTATATTTTGAACACTTTTTTTACATGACTTGGCCGAAACTACATATCTTGGTTTTATCCTCGACCACATAAACGCATACATACACCCACACAGTTGGAAGCAAGGAGGATGATGGTGAAAGCACTCAAAAACGGAATCGAGTGCAAGGTAGCGGCCTTCGTTGACATGTGCAGTTTTCTTCTGTTGCTACCGTTTCTTCTGTCTTTGATCCGGAGTCTCCCCCGTGCCGCCCCCTCACGGGGTCCCAGTTTATGGCATTTAGAAATGTTTTGTTTTTTCAACCGCACTGAGACTGACGTCTTTTCATTGGTCGGCAGCTTGGCGCAGTCTATGCTAATAACAAATTCACCCCCACACCACCGACACCGACACACACCGGCACCACCAAACTTGCAATGATAGCATACAGACACGGAAGTTTTTAGTCTGTTTGGGTATTACAGAGTTTTTTTTGTGTGTACGCCGGAAGGCGCTCGCTCGCGTCAGTTTGGTTGAGATATTTAGCAAGTGTTGAGTTGAGACCGGAACTAGCTTGTATGTGAAGACAGCCAACAACGAGAAAAACAACTTTCGGGCCGAAAGGTGGTTTGCTTGCACTCGGTGCGGTAGGATCGTAGGTGCATGGACTGTTGCAACGCTAAATACGACTGACTGCCGTGTGCAGTGATCGTCCGTAGTTTTGTGAATTCCAGCAGACTCACGGAAACAACAGTATAATACCAGGTGTATATGGATATCGCACACCAGACGGCATTTACGTCACCACACTTACTTCGAAGTTCGAAGTATTTCTAAGACTTAGAGCGAATCTCGACAGACACTGGAGATCATGCTCTGTATGAGGGGACTTCTGCATTATGAAATTGTGGAACTTCTAAGCGACGTCGCGGACGTGATACTGTACTCATCCGTGTTAGCACTCACAGGAGATTTTGAAGAAGTGAATTAACTTACCGCCGCCAGCCGGTCAGGTTCCGGAAGCCTACCACAGTCTAGAAAACTCCTGTTGCCTGGTATTATAAAAGCAAGGTAGCCACCAAGATAGGGGGGGTGGATAACGTGACGATGTTCATTGAAAATGGTGCCTCCCCAACGTCTGTCGGGGGCGATTCCCAGATTTCATCCACGACCTCCATCAGTAACGGCCGCTTGTTCCTCGACGTTATGAAATACATGTTCTCGGAAGATAGATTATTACTTATGGTCGCCTGCGATATTGCCATGTAAAAATGAGCTGAGCGAATTCTCACTGCGGTCGGTTCCAAGGCTTTGCCTCAGAGGTCACGGGCATTCGGTCAGAAAGGACGTATTTATGCCGCAGTGATCGCGTAGTCAGCCTGAAGCTTCCTGGTTTCCTCGTACGGTAAGAGAGAACGCTTGGACCTACGATACCCTTACGAGAAAGTCGCTCGTGCTACTGATAGCATTTCAAGCGGGAGTTCCTTGACGGCCCCGCCCACCCCTTCCTTGCCAACGGGGCCAATCCTCAACACGAAGTGTGTTCTGACAAAAGTGAGATCGACCAGAAACCAGTCTTCGAGATGAAGTTTCTGCCTCCTGGCGTGTGTGAATTTGCCGCTGGTGAGAGAAAGACAAGTCTTTGTCGACGAGTTCCAAAATAACTGTCGTTGAACAAGAACCGATCCCTGCCAAAATTTCCGGACGCCACGACGACGATCATTCCACGGCGGCAGTGGTTCCAAGGGCAGCTCTGCAAGACGCAGCGGCTCCGGAGTCAACAAAAGGATTCAGCGTCGACTCGTTTGCCAACGTCACGCAAAGTCGTTGCACGAGGCACAATAGAGTTTTTGCAGGACCCCGTTGTTACTCTCATTGATCTTTCCCTGTCCCTACCCCAAAACGTTCTTTCCTCCTCAAAGATTACGCTTCTACATACACGAAACACAGCGCGGTCCACAACAGATAAACACTCTTTCATTCGCCGTGTAATGATTTTCTACTGGCTTTCTCCGGGCGAATCGCGCCCGGTTCGGCGGCACAGTGTTGGCTTTTTCCCGTCAAAACACCATGATGGTTTTCCCTCCGCTTGACTCCTGAGGGGCCTCGGCTGTGGTCTCGATGTCCACCAGGTGTATCTGCGCACAAACGTAGCAATTTCATGGGTAACGTCATTCGATAATTTCTTCGCAAGACCCCCCTCTTTTCCTTCGTGCCGTTCACGAGGCATACTAGAAAGGTTCCCGCATGCAGTTATTGTAGATACCCTAGGAGTCTGAAACGACTGCTGTTGTATGTGCTCGTCAGTACTATCGCCTGATTATTTTCCCCGGGACCAGAGCAGTCATAACTTGTGTTCTCGTTTGTGTGTGTCCCAATGAACTCACACAGGCAAAGCTGCGTGATTCGTGCAGTCGGTCTACGTCCACGTGCACGCATGTTATTTTAGTACAAAATCAAAACGCCCTGCCTGCCCGTCTGCCAGCCCCACGGCCAGCTGCTGCCCCTGAGGCTCGAACGCGAGGGAAATCGCCCCCGCCGAAAGTCCCAGGAGACTGCCGATCAACCGCCGGTTGTCCAAGAAATCAAACACCTGTTGTTGTCGATATCGCAGTTCGGCGATGGCTTGAGATTGAAATGCAACAGGCGAAGCGACGGCGACGGTACGACGTAGTTCTGTGTCTTCGGGGAAACAGGGTCAATATTTTGCTTACTTTTAGACTACGCAAGTCATCTGTGCTACGCTCAACGTTGTTTACGTTATTGGCGTACAGGTGCGGGCGAAGGTCAACGCTGGATTGCTCTACAGCCAAGGAGATGCCTCTGCCGAAAATGTGATTATGGGAGGATCTCGTCGAGAGAGAGTTTTCCGTGAGCACGAGTCGGTGGGATTTCGCCGCGCTTTTTTTCGTGAAGCAATCGATCTTAAAAAATCGATCTCACATCCTTGCGTTCGCCCGCACTTTCAATGCAGTACCCGTGTGCAATGTGCGGCACTTGCTGGAAGATCAACCTGAACACAAATCGATGCTGGTCTACGTGCTCTCGCCTTCACTTCGTTCGCCCCCTCGCCCCCACCGGCCGCAACGAAGCTCCCTCGTGCATCCTCAGGCCCGCCGAACGCCGCCGCGTACAATCGGCATCTTTTTGTACAGCCGCCAGATAAGATCCAAGAGGGCGATGTGTGGTATCGGGTCTAGCCGTGAGCAATATGTGGTCGCGAATATCATTATCAATGGTTTGAGTGAACATGTGTTTTGGTTGTTGCATGTTTCGGCACAACGTCGAAATAACTTGTGGGTGCATCCGCCGTTGGGCCGTGTGGGTCGGGTAGCCCCCCTCTGTACCAATTGTCCGCGTCTGTGACAGATGTACGAGAGATTATGTGGTTGTCCCTAGCCTCCCGAGCCGTTCAACTGCCTCCTGCATGTATTTTGTCGCTCTGACACTGAAAATCGTCCAGCGCACCTCTCACGCGCGCGGCCTGGTCAAAGAGGGATCATGTGGTGGTGCACCGAGCACCAGATGGCATGTCTGACGTGTGGGGAGGGCTAAACTCGCCTTCTCGTGAAGACAACAACGGCAACAACAATGACAAAGTTGGACTACTGCTCTACCTGCGACCCAAGGCTTGCTGCAATAGCGCCCCCTTGCCGCTTCCGCTCCAGAAGGAGGGGCCGCTGGCCTTCCCAGAGTCCATGTCCCAAGCTTCCAGCTATTGAGCATCCACATGCAGTGGGTATGAATGAAAAAAAGAGCCGTGGTGCCGATTTCGAAGATTTTGAGATGTGTTGCATTGATGGATAGACAGGCAAGGGGGACCAGACCGCTGAGAGGGGGGACGAGGTTGGGGGTCACAGCAAGGCGCGACAAGATTTCGCATGGCTGGCGTCTATTGTTGGTCAGAAACTGTCAGCGAATTTGAAATTTACACCGAAATTCTACAACACGCAGGCGCGCAATTTCGTTACTTCGACTGACACCTTCTCATTCGTCTGGCGGTGAGCGCTGTCGATGCGTCTAAAGAAACACACACACACATGGGCACGCGCACCTGAGACTCGTCACGCCAAGAGCCCGTTACAATGGTCCGACCGAACACTCCCACAGCATCTCCACAGATGTGGGGGCCGAAGACGGTTGTCACGGTGGTGGCCTTTTCAACGTCCCACACTTGTACGCAGTTGTCCTGGGTGAAAAAAGAACAGAAAGAGAGTTTATTCCGTCTCCCACAACCAACCTCGCTATCGCATGTTTGGAGCGGAAGAAAGAGCACAAAGAAACATGATACTCAGTGCAAAACCGTATGAAAACCATCGGAATGCTGACGGGCAGAAATTGAGTTGCGGGCACCTCTACGAAAACCAAGCAAGGGTAAGAACATCAGTGAGTTTTGTCCCTCTTCGGAGTGCCCGCAAGGAGAGAAGCGACTTATCCAACAGAAGGGGGGGAGGGGGGAGCGCAGAGCCATCACTCTCGAGCGCATCGACACACGGACACTCACCCAACCGCCGCTGACGAGAGTGTTCGAATCGTCTGGGTGAAACTTGACACTAAACACCCTGCTGCTGTGCCCGGAGCCTCGCGCCATCCCAGGCTTGAGCTCAACCAACATTTCCTGCGGTTCAGTGCGAAGTGTTGTAGCTTGAAACGAATAGCAAATGCTTTGGTGTGCACCTTCTCGTTGTTGTGCATAGGTAAAGTGCATTCTGTCATTGCGGCAGCAGCAGCAGCAGCAGTAGGAGGAACGGTTTCATTCACGTGAGCAAGCTCTGTCGCCCCGAGATTTTATAGAGCGGTTAGGTGAAAAATTCAGCAAAACTTTGGCAGGTGTATACATCTAAAATAGAACACGTGCGGTGTCTTCGAAAACGGAGTGGATATCAGAACCAGCAAGCGCTAGTGTCATCGCTGCAGGAGCTATGTATTCCTAGGTCTTGTGTGGGGCGTCCCCGAAAACACAAAGTCGGCAATGTTTGTCCGGGTACCAGTCGTGCCTGGCCCTTCTGTGCGCTCGGCGTGGCTTCGGACGCCGTACCGCAACACTGTTGCCCTCGGAACCGTGCCCGCGACCCATCCTTGGCGTACTCATACCAGACAGAAACAGTCATATTTCAGGTTGGATGTTCTGTTGAAACACGGCAGCCCATCCGGATTTCGAACCCTCCACCGGATTTATCGGGTTGCCAGCTAGACGTTGACGCACCCTCGTGGTGTCGCTGTAGACCCTCACGACCCCGTCGCTTGCTCCCACGGCAAAGAATTCTCCGTCGCTGGAGAAGGCGCAGCACAGCACCTCCACCCCGATGGGTATCTCGATATTGTCATCTCGTTTGCTAGCTTCGCCTTTTTCTTCTGCTTTATCCCCGTCGCCCGCCCCGCCTCGCGAATTTGAGTCTTCCGGTGGAACAGCCAGTTTGTGCAGTACCTGCGCAGTGCACGCACGATGAGGGCACCCGTGTAAGTGGAGGAGGAGAAAGCTGGTGAGGAGAAATGAAGGTGCTCGTTGCTGCTTCATTTCTCAGTCGATCACCGAAAACGGCGTTATGTTTTCGAGGCCGCGGGTATCAATGACGGCCGTGATGAGCGAGGTTGTTTCCTCCACATTACACGTTACCTGCTGTAGTCATATACATGTCAGTTGTCCTTCGTCGCGCGTCCGTACCTTGGCTGATGGCACGTGCCAGAGCTGGATTTCGCCGTGGGAGTATCCGATGAGGGCCACTCCGTTCGTCTTTTCGCCCTTCAAGGTAACGGATACAGGGTGCGCGGGCAAGCGGGGTTATCTAAGGAGAATAGGTGGAGAAAGGGCGGTGCTTCATCAATGTATCAGCAATTCAGAATTCCAGAGGGGCATACACCGTGTACATGTGAACCAAGCGTCTAGAGCCACTGCATCGACAGAATGCCACTGACCTTGTTGTATGGTCGAAATGCGGCGCAGGTGCAAGGAAGCTTTACGCTGTCGAGGATAGACGACGAGCGTTTCTTCTGCAAGCCCAAGGCGCCGCTGCTGCCCCTTTCAACCTTGCCGTAGCTTTTTCTGCTCCTCTCTCGCTTCGAAACCAGCACCGAAATGACAACCCCGTTGTGTGGGTTTAACACTCGCACCATGCCATCTCCGCAGCACGCAAGAAGAAACCTTTACGTGTACGCCCCAAGGGAAGGTATTGTTTCAAGAAAATACCGTCTTCGGCAGCAATGATCGTGGCATACCGCAACTCATGACCGTCCCGCGTTGCAGATCGTCTGTAAAACAACTGCTTGAGGTCGACACAACGGGAACCTACAGCAGTACAACAATCAGACTACTCCTATATTCCGTACAGAACAAATCGCAGCACGTGCCAACAAGCGATTCATCGCAACATGTGCGTGGAGGCAGCTGGGAGTATGTGTCCGAGATCGACGCTGCTTTTTGTTGCTGCTGCAGCTGCCATTGCTGCTGATCCTGCTGCTTAAGTTGCCGTTGTTTTTCCTACGTGCTGTGTTGTGTTGTTGTCTTCACACTAAAATACCGTCCCGTTCTCCGCTCAGCACCTTCAAATATCCGTACTGGTGCAACTGACGCGGATGCCTCCCGTGGTCACAGGTACGTACAATACCCGAAAAGCAAGTCAATGCGGACTTGACTTACTGCTGTGGTTCCCCGCTTGACCTACCTCCCATCAGCGGAGAAGGCGAGGCAAAATATCTCCGACTGAATGGTGACTGTAGTTGGGGATAACTTGAGGGTATGGTTGGAACCGAAGCCTCCTCCGTCGTCTTCCTCGTCTCGCATGACTTGCAGCTCTTGCTCCTCTTCGTCGCCTTCGCCATCCTTGTCGACCAACAATTCCGCCATTTCGTGGAGTATATAATTCTATTTTCGACCGCCTACCTCATCAGCCAGTACAGGCGAAGATTAACGCTTTGACGAGACGAGACCTCGTGTGTGAGTGTGTGCTGTGCACGGGGGGGTGGCTCATCGGGATGATGGGAATCTGCACAACAACAGGTGCAGAGGTCGCGGAGCATGCGAACCGGCACAATATGGACCGCGTGGAACCAAGACCAAACCGCCCGACACACTACAAACGCCCCCCCGTGCCCCCGTGTGACATGGTTCGACGACCACAAGCCCCCAACCAATCGATCACGCTCCACTCTCCACGATCAACGAGCTGGTCTCGTCGCGAGCAATGCTTCGCTCTGTATTTGCGGTCGGGCATGGAAAGCTGGCCGTGGCGTTCGACGGCGGTCACGTGCTGGAAGTGGGCGAAAGCAGGTGCTACAAAAACGCGGTCTAATCGTCTCTGGTCTCTGCTCGCTGTGAGGCGGCGCATGATTGTGGGGACCTCCATGTGTCCGTAGCAAATATTCGTCTAAACCCGATCTGGACGTGTGTCGCATATCTAGCCAGACTCGTGTGGGCGTTCGTGCGTGATCACTCGTGTACTGATTTCAGCTCAAAGGGTTTGTAGTTTGTAGTCAAGCTGGAGAAGGGTGGTGGTGTACTTTCACCTTCTGCGCGCCAACTCTCCCGCTCCCGCCATTCCCCCTTCCTCATGCCTCATGCCAGCGGTGGTCCCTCGTCGATGTGCTGTTTTGACACACGTGAAACATTGCACATGGGCAAACTGATAGAGTAGTACACAACTATGATATGGCAGGCTCATATTGAAGTGCGGGCTCGTCGCCGTATGCCCATCGATCCTATCCTATCCTCGTCAGTGCGACCCCATCACTGCGTTACGGATCCAGGATCCAGCCGTTGTTGCTGTTCTACGTTTCGAACGCAGGCAACCCTAGCTCGTTTCAAGGCACAGCAGTATCTGCCAATCGGCCACGTTGTTACGGTTAGGAATGACGAAACAGGTGGGCCGCAGTACAACAATCGAACACCCACGTGACTTTACCCGGCCGCAATTTTAGCAGCGGCGAGACTTACAGAGTCCAGCACCTGCGGCATGGAAGCAACCGCAGCAGCAGCAGCAGTAGCAGTACACCCAACACCACCTCTGCCACCGGTGACGCTAAGAATGAGAGCCCGTCATCACGAGCCCCTCAAGATGCAGCCGCAAAACCGGAAGAGGCAGGAGCGGCAGCAGCAACAACGGAGGAGGCGGGATCGGCGGGTGCTGCCGTAGACATCGCCTACTCCGCGGACGCGTCCATGGTCGCCCTGGCCACGGAAGACAAGCAGGTGTGCGTGTGGCGAACAGGCGCAGGATCGGGCACAGCGGCGGGCACCACTGGAGCGCCGGCGGATCCCGGAGACGCTAGCAAGGCCACCATGGAAGCCGCGCCGGCGGAGGCGGCAGCAGCAGCATCCGGACACGTGCTGGGAAAGCGGGAGCTCCCGAAGAAGCCGACCAGCGTTTTGTTCGCGCCAGTGGTGGCACCTCGCGCCGATGGTGCCGCCGCCACGAGGGAGAAGACGGAAGAGGTTGTCGTGGTTTCCGACAAATGCGGGGATGCCTACGCTGCTCCCCTGCCAGACCCGTCCTCGGCGCTCAAGCACCTCCTCGGGCACACGGCCATGACCATAACAGCGATGGTTACCCTCAAGAGGGGGCAGCTCTTGGCCACTGCCGACCGAGCGGAGCACATTAGGGTCTCCCAGGTATGAGCGCCGCAGCAATCGCTCCTGAATCGATGTCCAGCTACCTTAGCGGTGCCTTGCACCCCTCCCCCCCCCTCGTTCCACTTTTGTCAGGACATGCCCTCATTTGGCAGTTGCATGCGCCCTCCCTTCCGTCAGGACAGCTGACGGCAAAGATCAGAGTACCCCACCCCCCTGCACTGCCGTTGCCCCCTTGCTGTTTTGTTTATCCACCCACCATTGCCGCCCTTTTTGGTTACCTCGAGCAGTTTCCTCGCACTACGATCGTGCACACCTATCTCCTCGGACACCAAGACTTCGTGTCCGCGCTGGCGGCGGTTCCCGGAGAAGGGGGCACTATGCTGCTGTCGGGAGGCGGGGACGGTAGGGTGGGCCTTTGGGAGGCGGAGGCTGGTCGAGAGTGAGACGAAGCGTGTTTCTGTTTGAAATGCTTGCTGTTGTGTGCTCTGTGTGTTCCACACGGAACCCGTCTTTTTGTGTGATCGGCGTTGGGTGGGATGGTTTTCTAGTGCCACGCCAACAACATGTCATCACCAGTAGCAATACCAACAACAACGGCGACGAAGACGAGAGCGACAACAGAAGCAACAACAACAAAAACATGCTGAGGGACGCAGTGGAAGTGCCACAAAGCCCAGTGGTAGATAGAAGCAAGCACGCTGTGGCTGTAGCCCCTTGTGCCGCTGAATCCGTGTTGCAATTCGATGAATGGGAATATTTTTTGTTCGTTTTGGGTGTGCCAAGAACCAGTCAATGCAGTCTTCCACGTCTTTAGCACTGCTGTTGTGTCTACAAATGGGTTGCCTGCGAGCACGGGGACAAGGGGCGACAGTACTGGAAGGCATGCAACGCTGGAATGCGCGTGGCGAGCTTTCTCTCGGAACGAAGCTAGCGATGCAAATCGCACGACAATGTAACGATGGTGTGATTGTTCAGCTGGGTTTTCGTCGAAGACCGTGGACAAACCCTTCACAACCGCGGGACATCCACACACGGAGGCAAGGCCGACTCGTCTCTACACCCCCCCGTCCTCTCCCAGTTTCCTACCTTTACACTGCCAGTTCAGTTCAACCGTTCGGTCGCGAGGTTCTCGACGAGCGAGCTGTGGCTCCGTTGCTGCAAGGCGAAGCAACACTTGATGCCAACCCAGCTCAAACTTGTCTGTCCCGCCGCCAACAAAAGCCGCTTTTCTTCGTATTGTCGCCCGTACGTCGCGCATGCACACCGACACACACAGGCTGGCAATGATCTCGGTGCGGCAGGCCTGCCAGGACCTGGCGGACGGCGATAACGCCTCCGAGGGAGTTGCAACGATGGACCTAGAGGAGGAAGAGGGCTCGAAAGAGACCGCTGCCGCCGCTGATGGTGGGGGGGGGGGAAGCGGGGACGCAAGCAGCTGCAAAAACGGCGATTCTGGCGCTGATAGTAGGGGAGAGGGAGAAGCAGGAAGCGGGGGGGTCACGAGCGAGACTCCAAAGGGGGGCGGGGGTGGGGGTGGGGGTGGGGGCGTGCCCCTAAGCGTGTCTTGCAGCGAGGATGGGAGAACCGTGGCCGTCGTTGTCAGCGGGTGAGATGATGATATTGAGAGAGATGTACAGCCACACGCAACGGAGAACATATATATGTGAGAGAGAGGCAGCTAAAATTGATATGAGGCAGATCGACGCAGTAAGACGCTAGTATGGCATGTTGAATATGATGGCGTTTTCTATCCTGCGACGGTCTGCTGTTGTCGGCAACACTCCCCGTCTGGTTTCCCCCTCTCCCCAACCCGTCTCTCTGTTCTCCCCGCATTCTCTCCAACAGACAGCTTGAGTTTTAAAGTGTTTCTTTTTTTCGCTGCCCTCCCTAGCGTATCGATTCAGTCTAGTTGACTGCACAAAAAAAGTGTTCGACCTCACACCCAGGGCCACTTTTGCCGTCGCTTTGGGGGCAGAGGCTGGGTTGTCCACGTGGTGCAAGATCTCTCATTACGCAATCGCGTTTGTTCATCACTTCTTCTCGACAGAGCATTGGGGGAGGGCGGCGGTGGTAGTGATGTGCCGCTCGTCATGCCTGCCTTCAGTTTTAACCAACAAGACAGCCACAAGGCTTTAGCGATTGGCCGAACATCACGGATGAGGACAACATCGACCTGGCACCACGACCTTTCTTCGATCGACGAGCCCGAGATGCTGCCCAGTTGCTTTTCTAGTACCATGTCCGCCGCGACACACGAGAACCCTCCCGCTCAGCACGTTAACCACCGAAGACACACATGATATATTTCATACCGCTTTGTCTTTTCCACGTCATGTGTAGATATGCTTCGACAGCCACGCCATTCTTTCTCCCGTACCCCGTGCCACACCCAAACTAAACCACATACAAAGGCTGGAGGGCTTACTGCTTCTGAATATTTCGCATGGAGGAGGTGGCAGCGAAGGGGCAGAGGGGGGGGCGGGGGCGGGGGCTTCTTTCTCCCTTACCCCGCGGGCTCGCTTGCAGCTGCCGTCGGTGCCCATCCAGGCCGGCTTCCTCGATGGAGACCTTATCGTGGCCTTACCCTCGGCGTCTTCGGCCGAGTGAGTGTCGGCGTCGCGCGTCTTTTTGTTCGTTTTTGTTGTCGTGTTGTGTTTTCTCTTGAAGTATTACTTTATTATTTTTTTTATTTTATCTTTTTAGGAAGGGGGGGTGGCGAACGCTTGGGGGAGAGGTATGTGGAGTGTGAATGTATTTTGTCTGTGCGTCCCTGTCGCCTTCATCCGCTCGTCAGACCAACCATTCGTCGAACTGAAGAACAGGAGTTCAATGATGCCCAACCGCGCGAGAAGCGCACTCCGTCGGAGCACGGAGGATGGCTGTCGTACCCCGGAGCACATGGTTCCTTTGTCCCACCCACAGTTAGTGTATGAACTGCGCTCGTGAATCCTTTGCGAATTCTTTTTTTTTCGCCGATCGTAAATGTCGACTGATTATTTTCCCAAGAACACAACGTGAGACAGACCCATGAAATGGGGCATCTCGATTTTTTTTTTTCCCCAACGGTGAAACAAAGCAAGACCCAAACCAACACACGGGCCCCGCCAACTACAGCGGGTTTTTTTCTTTTATTTTTCCGTTACCTACAAATGGACCGGCGGTGTTTCTGATTGGTCACCACCACCCGGTCGATGCTTTTGAGAGACCCTAACACACCCAACTCACATGTTTTTTGCTCTCTTATCACCCTGTCGTTGGCACACCAGTTGCCTGCAGGCGTTCAGCCTTCGAGATGGCGTGGGAGAGGGTGCGGTGCCGGCGGAGACCGGTAGCGCCAGGGAGAAGTGCATGAGCATCAACGCCCGGGCGAGAGAACAGCGTGCGTGCTGCTTCTGGTGTTGGCTTGGTACTTAGAAGGCTCCTATTGTGTGTGGGTGTGTGAGTGTGTGTGTTCTGCTACAGACCGACCGACCGCTGTTGTTGCTACGACTGCTGTTCTTTATGGCCTGGAGTTCCCACAAAGAAAATGGGGATCGGTCTTGATGATAGAAGTATGCATTTGGCGCTCGGGGTGGCTTCGGCAGGCCCAGCCTCGAGATCTTCGTCGCTGGACGACATAGGCCCCGACGATGTCCTTGTTTCTTGTGTGTGGCTGTTTGGCTTGCGGTGCTGCTGTTGGACCCAGGTGTCGTTGTCGTCAGTCCTAGGGGTGCGATACCCCGGGCACACGGCATGTGCATGCACCCCTTGGTGATGCGTGTGCTCTCGTGTATTCGACCGACACGATGTCTTGTTTCGCCCCAAGCCCGCCGCCGTCCTTGCAGTCTCGCGCCCCCGGTGCCATATTTTCGCTCTTCCACGGCGTTGGGTTCGTCTCCAACTGCTGTTGCTCAACCCATCCATGTTTTCCAGCTATCCTATCCTGTTCCTGTGACGCGCGGTTCCCACTCTTGTTAAAAAAATTTCCGTCGTCGTCAGTTTTGTCGATCTCTTTTTTCCTTCTCCGGTTTCATATGGTATGATACCTTGCCGTGGTGTTTTTCGATCATGTCCAACATATGGTCACTCGTATTCTGTTTATTTGTTTCTTGGACTAATAAGTATTTTTTGGACCAAAAAACGGAAACGAAACAGCTAACGGCGGTTTGGTCCTGCAAGCGGCGGTGCCCGACGAGGACGCCACGGAAGCGCTAGGAGGGGGGCTGCGAAAGCACAAGGGGACCAGGAGCGCTGGGAAGAGCCCGGACGGGTGGAACAACTTCAGCAAGAGGTGGGTTCCGACGTCGCGAAACGCTTGTCGCTTGACTCCAACGCCTTTTTTGTTTCGCCTGTGTATTCGTGTGTTGTTTTCTGCTTGGCAACTGAGCTTCAGGATTGGGTTGTGTTATGCCTGCTTTTATGCCCAGGTGTGTCGTTTGTTTTCTTTCTGGGTTTTGTAGATGGTTCCGTCTGGGTGGGTGGCGCCTGAATTGTTTGTTTTTGCTTGGCGAAAACATGCGTATCGTCTGTATCCCCTCGTGTTTGCGCGCAGTGTCTACGATAGACAGCAGGGTTGGCGTACGGACGGGAGGGGCTCTTCCCTGTACAACTACGCGATCGCAACAAGCAGATAGCCCTGTCTTTCTACCACGCATATCGCGTGCACCAACTGGTAGATATTGGACAGCACGCGGAAGATTAGGAGTGTAGCCGCAACAGAGGGCATCATCACTGCCTGGGCTGTTTTCACGTGTGACATCGAACCAACTGTACAGAATGTGTCGGGTTTCTTGTTATTCCACACCAAATTCGCCAACATTACCTTTCCAAAGTTCGATCGTAGTTCGTTTTTTTTTGTCGATAGGCGACGGAGATTCGATTTCACACTTGTTTCACCCCCGTCCTTTGCGCCCAGCCCCGGCTTCCTACTCCCCCCCGTACGTCCATACTCCCTCGTGGCTCCTTGACAACAATTCATTTCCCGTTGTCATTCATTGTTTTGTTTTCGCCGTTTGGATTGCGCGGTGCGCGGTAATGCCCGGCAACGGACACCCGCCAATCAATCGACCATCGCCACCACCGAACCAGGAGGGATAAGAAGCCGGACAAGAAGAGGAAGAAGTCCACGCCAAGGCCGGCATCGGCGCCGCCGGCCAATACCACCGCTGCGTAGAACATCTGTCGTTGTCTTGCCGGTGCTCTGAGCCCTGTCCAATGCGTCGTTTTTTTGGTGGAACACGCACGGCGACTTGCTCTGTTGCATGGACGGTGTTGTTGCCGTGATTGGAAGCAATGGTGCGAAATTATATGCGAAACAGGCTTGGATCACGAGGGGGCGGTCTCACAAAGCGGTGTCGTAAGGCATGATATTACGTGCGTCACAGCTCTTGTTGTCCTGTTTGTGGCTTGTCTGCTGCGCTGTTGCCTGCGCCGGCGAGTGCTCGGTATGGGGTAGGTGGGGGCGGGAGGCCTTGGTATCTCGGCCAGGATGCAGCAACAGCAGTTCAATTTTTTTGGCAACAAATTGTGGCACGTGTTTTCTTTGGCAATAAAATCCGGTCTTAATCTTCGTTCTGGCGACACAACAAGTGAAACGCCTAGCACGCACGGTCCGCCATGGCATGAGGAGTGCGATCGTTTTTTTGTTCACCGTATGCTTCTAGAGAGACGCACTCAAAGGCCCTCACCCAAAGATAAGAAGGAGGGCGGATTTCGACTCCGATACCCGTACAAAATACATTGGAGTGGGTGGAGGTCATGAGTTTGTGAGGTGATACAGTGAGCAAAAATGCCCCAAACAAAAACAAAACACATCCAGCTTACCAAATTGCCGTTATTGTGCGAAGTAACCCGAATGATTATGGTGTGGGAGCTATCCGATATTGGCTGGCGTGGTGGCCTTCGAAGCAACACGAGTCGGAAAGTGAACCAATATTATTACAACATCGTCGAGGTCAGTCTCAATCTGACTTATTTTTTGCTTATTTTTTGTATCTACCCTTTGGTATGTATTTCGCCATTTATTGCTGATGCTGTTGAGAGAAGGTGCTGAGCAGAGAAAGCAGCAAAAACTTATCAGCAGCGAACAAAGCACCCCATTTCAGCCCATGTTTATTTGGTATTCCCAGGGGGAGGGGATGAAAGCTGACACTCCCCGGGGTTTGAAGAAACTGGCCGTCCATCTCTAGCAAACTTTTCGCGCTCAAGGCTCGGACCTGCTGCAGTGTAAGAAAAGCTTCCTGCTTCGCTTGGTTGCACGGACACTCGAGAAGACAAGCCAGGTGCAGCACACTCCGCACGAGGATCCATGCCGGTCTGTGGCATTCCTTGCAGGTGATTTTGCCAGCAACCCGTGGTGCTACACGGGGCGTCCGCGACGCATGGGCGGTGTAATAGCGTTCGCACGTTCGTTGCGGATCCGTTGTATGCTAATGCTAAGTACATACCGTTGTCGTGTTGTCGTTGGTGCAGGCAGTACGCTCACAGGACACAGTCGAGTGGGCAATTCCTCGCGCTTCTCTGATAGCCCCTCGGTTTCGAATTGGAAGAAAATGCAAGTCTAGACTAGACGTGTATTGGGAGAGAAAATGCATTGCTATGCATATGTATCAATGGAGGCAATATATAGCAGCGCGGAACATTGCCTTCCATCGGAGATTTGGAGATAGATGCAATCGATGTGGTGAGACAACAACAACAGCAACAACAATCAACAATCGATGGATGTGCTTGACTCCGTCCATCTATCCGTAAAATACGCTCTCTGTCTCTCTGTCTCCCTCTGAGGCGAAAGGAAGGACATGCAGATGCAGAGAAAGCAATGTCATACATCCGACGGTGTGTTATTTTCCCCACCCCTCGATGTACACTGCAGTAGGCAGCCCAGATTCACCAGTTTTACAGATGATGCGATGTCGGAGTAACTGCGTTGACACGTTGATAAATTATGCAGATACTGCTGTCCTGCCACATACACCGTGATACCCAGGACAAAGCGTTCGTTACTTGTTGCCGGTAGAGACCACACCTATATCACCACAGAGAGGCAACCCGTCTGAGAGTGCTCTCAAGGGGACACATGATGCGTCAAAACAACAAGCGTTCTTGACAGCAGTGATTGAACGACAGGTTTGCGTAAGATACCACCCCCCCTCGACCTACGATCAGCATGTAGCCTTCGCAGGTTTTATGCATCAGCAAACATGTTGGATAAAGCACGGAAGTACAATCGGCCTACGTCGCAAAGCCTATTTGGCATCTACTCTCTCAACACTAACTCTAGTCGCGGTGCCGACCACGGCGGGCAATGGAAGTGTCTCGACGAGAGCTTTTCCGAAGACGTACGTATCGTTTGGTCGTGTACATGTATGGTGCCATCCTCTTCCTCGTGGGGCGCGGTAATCTCATCGACTCTTGAAAATCGGGTGCAGTACATACATATCGTACGCAGCTGACGATAGGGCGGATACCTACCAGCTTGGCTTGCATGAAGTAACCCCACTGCGGTACCCATTTTTTGCCCTTCTTTCCGCCCACGCGTCCGTCCCCCCTGCTCCCTCCCCCCTCCCCCCCCCTGTCGGAATTGACTGTTCGGCGTTTCCACTCGTGCGTGTGCGCGCTGCGGACAAATGGAACGGAAACGAAAACAACTGGGAACGAATCCATCAAATCATCATCATCATCACCACCAGCCTCTCGCTGAAGCACCACAGCCCCGAGGTGTTCGGCTCGTCGCGGCTGCTGCACCAGAAGCCCTATGTCCTGCTACGCGCTTGCCTGGCGTTCAACAGCCTGTACTGGCTCATCCGCTCCATGTCCGTCTTCGGCAACGCACACTGGCTTGTGAGTGGGGGGAGGGGGGGGGCGATGCGCAACCGCTGCTGCTGTGCTGTTCCTGTTGTTGGCGATGGTGAATACTTTTAGATGTTTGCTCTCTTATAATGTTGTTGGTGGTGAATACTTTTAGATGTTTGCTCTCTTATACTAAATGTTGTTGGTGGTGAATACTTTTAGATGTTTGCTCTCTTATACTAAATGTTGACGATGGTGAATACTTTTAGATGTTTGCTCTCTTATACTAAATGTTGTTGGTGGTGTTATGGTGGCAGGTGCGGATTCGGTGGGTGCAACATCGTTGGTGATAATGTAGCTCCAAAGGGAGGACTGCCAGCCGTGGTGGTGGTGGTCGTCGTCTTTTTTTTTTAGCCGTTTCAATCATGCCTTCACTCTGTACGGCAAGGTCGTTGCGCTTCTTTTGCGACCGTTGGGGGCGTGACAGTTTTGGTAGCGGGGTCAGGTGTTGCGTTTCGGATAGAGGGACCGCGACTCCTACTAATCGAGGGGGAAAAGTTGGCCAACACATGAAGAGCTGGGTGTATTCCTCTCCGTGTTACCTCTTTCCATGGACCACCACCAACAAACATCCATCCAAAGGGTCAATTTCGAAGTTCGGTCTAGAAGGGTACGCAGCAGGGTTTTCTCTTCTGCCAATGACATGTTTCCTGGTCAGGAAAAAGAAAGTTGTGTCATATTAATAAAAAAAAAAAAAAAAAAGTGCGGGTGTGACGACGACGCTGTCTGACAAAGCCCTACGGGCCCTTCAGACAACGCACCCGCAACGCGTACCCCCCCCTCCCCCCCCGCCACGCCCCCAGCGTGCGTTTTCAGTCGGGATATTTTGGCCCTGGTCGTTGCTACCGCCGCCGCTTGTGGTTCTTCTGTACACACATACGTCACAGCGAAGAATTTCTTCTTGTGGCCGACCCCTTTTTACCTCTTGCTGGTCCCCTGTACCTCTTGCTGACTCCTGTAGTACCTCACTTCGCCGTCGGGCAACCAACCGTCGTCCTCCCCGTCTTGCCGGCTATCGTTGTCGCTTTCATCGGCCCCCTACCGCTGCCGCCGCCGCCGCCGCCGCCGTGGCCGCGTTTTTCCCTTCAGCTCTACCTCACCCACTGGACGTTCGGTGAGTGGTGGCACAGCAGGGCTACATGTAGATACCACAGGAGTAGTATTTAGAATGCTGCCTGGGAGGCTAAAGCTTGTGGTGCCATTTCCCCCCCTGGAATTTTGTGCGTGTTTTTTTGCTCATCTGCTGTCCCTTCCCGTGGTGACGTACGTGTGAGCGGTTGGGTGTGGGCTGCTCATGCCTTTACCTGTGTGTGTGTCCCTCTCTCTCTCTCTCTCTCTCTCTCTCTCTCTCTCTCTCTCTCTCTCTCTCTCTCTCTCTCTCTCTCTCTCTCTCTCTCTCTCTCTGTCTCTCCCTCTCTCTTGCGTGGAGGCTACCGTCCGTAGCAACGGCGTAGAGCGGAAGATTGATTGCAGAGATTGGAAATGTGTACTGGTACCAATACAAGAGCAAGTTTGCCCATGCCGTTGCGTGCGGCATAAGCACGTACGTTTTATTCCTCCTTGCGGAAACGTATCCCATGTCTTTACCCTGCCCCATCCCGTTTTTTTCTGTCCCCCACGGCTCATGCACAGCGAATCAACTTACTCTTGTGCACACGTGAGAAACAGTAACGTCCCTTGAAATCGTCAACCATTAACCCATCCGGATTGAATGTGGCCAATGCATGGGTCTAAACCTTCATATTCGTTACCCCTCCCGCTTCCCCTTCCTCCGGGAACAAAAACGCTCTGTTCTTTCCAAGACGCATGGTCAATGGTATTTTACAGTTAAGGCATGCAAAAGATAAAGATTACACCCCCCGCCTCCCCGCAATATCTCGCCTCTTTTCCCCCCTCTCAAAACAGCCCTCCAGACCCTCTACTACTTCCTCGCCCTCGGCTCTGCGATCCACCTGTGGCTCAACAGCGGCCGCAAGCGCCGGGCGGGGTGGCTGTGGTCCTCTCGCGAGATAGGTGGAGGCGGCCGAGAGCTGGAAGGGGTAGGAGGGGGCCCCGCGATCAAGGGTAGGGGGGTGGGGAGAGCAGGGAACGACAGCGCGCGCGACCGTTCCAAGGAGAAAAGGGAAGGCCTCGGCAGGAGCGCGGCGGCGGCCGTCGACGCTGGGAAGGAGGGTCTACCGCTGCCGAAGCCTGCGGGTGGCGGCGGGGAGGTGGCGGCAAAGCGCGGCGGCGACGGCCACGGAGCTGCTGCGGCAGGAGGGGGGAACGGAGAACACATTGTAAGGCGCAAGCTCTCTTTTTTTTTTTTTGGCACAAGATCGGGGGCAAGAGATGTTTGCATATGTCCGTGCACATGGTGGTCGCGATCAGCGCACGTTTTTTCAGGGTGCTTTTTTGGCCTGCTCTGTAGCGAACGGTTGCGGTATCTACGTTCCGTGTAGTCGTCCTCTCTGTTCACGGACGACAAGGCTGAGGCCACTCTCCGCTTTGAGGACGCAACATATTTCAGCATGGTTTCCCGCAGGATGTACATACAAGAGGGACGTGTACTTCTACCGGCAATTGCCCGCCGTAGGGACATTTTTTTTTTTAATAAAATAAAATGAGAGTCTTTGCAGCGTGCCGGGGGTCCTAGCGTCTCGCAGGAGGGCCGGGCCGGGGGGACCCCTGGGGTGGTTGATCGCTTCGCGCCCCCGTACATCCTCAACAAACTAAGACCGTTCTTGTACGCCACGATAAAAGAGGATGTTGGTGGTGCGGTACGTACTACTCCGACGTGTATTTGTTTGTTTGTGGCGGTGTCGCTGAGCATGCCATCGAGAACACGTCTTGACAAAGCAGGATCCATCTGTTGTTGAGAACGCACTCTGGCTGAGCACCCGACGGCTGCTTCTGTCGCCATTCTCCTTGATCATGGCTAAAGATTCTCTGGAGCCCTGCTAGAACCTCCAACCATCCATACCCCCTAAACGCAAGTTGACCGCCGCCGCTTCTGCTGCTGCTGCTTCTTCTGCTTCCGCTTCTTCTGCTTCCGCTGCTGCTGCGGTTGGTTGTCGTTGTCGTTGGGTGGCGACTCGCAGGCTCTGGAGCGCTGGCGCAAGCTGCAGTGGGGCCTGTTGATCGTGTGCGCGGACTCGGCGATAATCGTGACGGGCGTCTACTGGACCTTCCTCTACAACGGCTGGACGGACCAGCTCAACCTGCAGGTGACGACGGACAATCGAATCCTCTCACCCTCCCCGGCCGATGGTTTAACCGCGAAGGCATGCAAGACATGAGTACGCCCCCCCGCCCCGATCGATCATCACGAACCAGAAGCAAAGTTTTACACTTTCTAGATATCTCGGCTGACTTTGTTTTGCGATGTGCCCTGTGCTAGCAGTGCGAAACGTGTTGGTTGAGCGGTCTGTGCGTGGCAGCCTGCCGCTGCTGTTGCTTCGCGGGAGATCGGGTCTGTCGTTTTCAGACGATGGTTCGCAGAGTGGGCGGTCCGCCGTGTGTTTGTGTGTGTGTTTTGCGTGAGCAACGAGTGTTTGGACCCGCCCCACCTCCCTCTCAGCGAAAAGTAGACGAGTCAAGTAGAGTGTGAAAGCGGCAGTAGATCGAAAGAGGTTTTGTAGTTGGGGCCAACCTCACCCTGCCGGCTTGCTAAAGCAGGAGCAAAGTTTTGGAAGCAAAGGAGAGGCCAAGAAGCGTTTCCACAGTAAATTAAGGACCTAGACTGCAGTACACGCAGGTATTGGTTGTGGACGTCCTTTGCCGCCAACGCGTTTTTCTCGGTCAAGATGCGTCTTGTAGGGTTGCGGCTTTTCCTCGGCGGTGGTCCGTCCTTTCGAAAATCGTCCAACGACACGTATGCGCACGCAGAACGCGCCACCGCTCTTAAGGAGGTTCCTATTTTCTCGGCCGAGGGTTGGGTTCTTGTGTCCTCTGCAGGTCCTCAACATGTGCGTCTTCTTGTAGTCTTAGCAGAATATTTTGTGGTGCCGGCATGACAAGCGGGTCTCCCTTCTTATCCTTTCGATTTTTTTTCTTTTATGTATCCTGAATGTTTTTTTTGGCTGCCAGGTTCTGAAGATTAAGATTTGGCGCGTTCTGCATGCCATGCACACCGAACGCCATTTTTGTTGTTGTTTCCATGTAGGTATTTGTTTTGATAACCCGCCTCCCCCACATTCTGCTTGTCTGCCTTTGCTCTTTTCTTGCCCTTGGCTGGTCAAGATCCACTTGTTCAACGCTCTGTTCATGGCGGCGAACGTCTTTGTCGGGGGCTCTCCCTTCAAGTGGGAGCACATCGGCATCGCCTACATCTACGGATTCCTGTGTGAGTTTCGTAGGAGGCATCATGTTGTTGTTGCTGCTGCCGCAGCTGCTGCTGCTGCTGCTGCTGTTGGTGGTGGGTGCTTGCAATGAACCGCGTTTTTTTTTCGTGGAATCTCATGTTCATCGTTCGGTGTAGGCTGGGTAGAAATAATTACCTCGTGCTCACACATACCAAGTCATATAGCTTTTAGAAGCGTTTTGTGTTTTCAACAGCACTGAGACTGAACGTCTTTTCATTGGTCGGCGGGCTAGCGCGGTCGATGCCAATAAAAAAAGAACCACCCCCCGCCGGCAACACGCCTCCCCCCGGTGTTTGCCGTCGGGGTTGGGTTTTCGTCGATTGGCAACGACGTTGTAAAAGAAGCCAATTCACTTCGTGAACTCGGCAACCAGATTCCCTTTTTTTTTTGCCTCTGTTTTTTTTTTTTGCGGTAACCATGAGTGGTAGTCGAGTAGATCATGTTGTGCGGGGTGGAGAAACCTCACTCCGCGCAAGGGAGATGATCGCACGACGTTCTGTTAAAATGGTCGAGCATCTTCGAGCACTTTCACAGTGCTTATAACTGTCTCTGGAAGTGAACGCGCCAGAAAATAAATAATATATTAAGTCATACGCAGCTGTCATCCGTACGAAAGGAAGTAAACACAAGATGCCGAACACCCTTGGCAGGATGCAGCGCACCCTTCATGGGACTCGCCGAACCTCACCGCGCTTCGCGCTTGGTGATGTGAGAGCCTGGTCCGGTGAGAGCCCGACGTGCTCCGTTCCGGCTTTGTAGGGATGCGAGGTCAATGGTCTAACGATTACGGCATGCACGACTATGAGTACCCCCCCCCCCCGGCAACACATGCTCGTGTACTCTCAATCAGCCTCAACACCTATCTCGTCTCTGCCTTGTTACTCCAGACCTAGGCTTCGACATCCTGTACTACATCTTCGGCTCGGTCTTCGGCTACGAGGACTCGAGGGTGATCTACTTCTTCCTCGATTGGGGAGGCGCCCCCGGGAGGTCCGTGACGGTGTCGCTGTTCCTGCTGTCGGTCGGGCTGCCGTTGTCTCACGGGCTGCACGTGGCTGTGGCCTGGGGCAGGGACTGGGTCAGGAGGATGCGGCCCGGCTGGGGTTGGCAGGTGAGGAGGCAGGCGGCAGTTTGGCGGTTCGGTACAGCTGCTGTTGTTGTTGGCAGTGGTGCTGTTGTTGGTTTTGTTGTTGGTTTTGTTGTTGCTGTGGCTGGTGCTGGTGCTGGTGTTGGTGTTGGTGGTGGTGGTGTTGTTGATTTCCGCGGGCATCCGACGCGTCATGATGGTCGTTGGTTGTTATTCTCGTTAAAACAGAGAAATGGACCCGGACTGCTCACTCACGCGGAAAGAGTCCCCGCGCAGTTGTTGTGATGCAGTTAACACCTTCTTGTAGTTTTGTGTGTGTTCTTTTCTTTCTTTCTGCAGGATGCCCCGCCACTACGAAAACAAATGATTTTCTCGTCGCGTCACACAAACCTCACCACGCACGATTTTGCGATCTCTGGCCAACACTCGTTCACTATCACACAATAAGCGTTCGCAGGGACGCACGTGTGATCCGACCTGCTTGCTTATTCCTGGGGCGTTCTTTGTTGCGCCGCGGGTATGTGTTCATTGTTTCGTAAGTAGAATACTTCGTGCTTGGAAGTAGTATGTAGTACATAGAGACTATTAATACAATACGTACCCGCTAGAGAAAATATCGCAGTCGAAGGGCATGTTTTGAAGTATGTTTTGTTTTCTGTTTTTGTTGCTGCTGCTCATATTCCAGGGCACCGACGAAGAAGACTTCGAGAGGGTGATGGAGATGAGCGGCCTGAGGGACACGGACGTCTGGGCGCCGCTGACGGGGGAAGGTTTCGACAGCGAGGAGGAGGAGATGGGCGGCGCCTCCGTCTTCCACGACTACCACCACGCCGCTGCTAGGGTCCCGAGCGGCAACGGGAAACGCGGCGGTGCTAGCAGAGCCGTTGCTGGCCTCCGCCAACAAGAGAAGAAGAAGCCTGACGGCGTGGGCGCGAGTAGAGGTAGTGCTGCGGGGTTTTACGCAAGATAACACCCGGGGGGGGGGGAGGTGTCGAAAGCCGAACGAACGGTGGCCTGTTTTCGTTCGTGAACAAAGAGCGTTAGGCCGTACTCATGTCGATCCTTTTGTCTGGATTAACGTCGTGCAAGTCTTTTGTGGGAGTGGCTCTGGGTGAAGAGTTGTTTTTTTCTTGTTGTGGCCTTGTGGACCGTTGTTTTGTGTTGTGGCCTTGCCGTGGTTGACGTGCTTGTTTCGGTCCGGTGGGAGAAACGATTAAAGGTTTCTTGGTTGTTGTCTTCTTTCTCCGTACATACACGCGGAAAAGTGCTGCGTTTCTACCCCTAGCAGCAGCAGGTGAGCTAGCTGAGCGCATGGGTGAAAATTGTTTTCTACCGCGAAGACATCAAGTATCTTCCAAGGAGTAGGGGCGGGGGGGCGGGGGCGTTATCGCCCGAGGGCGCCCGAGGGCGGGGGGTGATGACAAACCTGTGTCAAGGACAGACTTACGTAGGTATGCGTATGTCATGGAAGGTTGGGACCAGCGGTACCTTGGCAGTTCTTTGCTGTCACCTGATGTTTTGCTTGGGGTTCTTCCCCGTGGCTTTGCTATCACCTGATGTTTTGCTTGGTGTTCTTCCCCGTGGCGGGGGGGTGCGTACGGGCGCGGGTTTTGTCTTGAGCAAAAATCGTAACGGCGCACAGACGGTTCCCGGACCGACGATGACATTGGTGTCTTGTGCCGCCATGCGTCGCACGCCGCAACCCACGCCGTTGGTGGTGTGTCGAGTGTTTTTTTTTTTTTAAGTGATGTGGCTCTTCGAAAACCTCCGTCCATGATTTGTTGCCCTGGAAGGGACGTGGGGACGTGGGGTGGGGACTTCCGTCCCACCTCTTACAATTGTTCGCAGTCGGTCGCTCCCTCTCGCGTATGTATGTAGTCATGTGCTAGTTTATTCAGCGGAGAGTGGTGGACTACTCTACGGTACCTGAGGGCGTGTAGTGTGCGGATTTGACTGCATCACGTCAAATCAGGTCAAATCAGGGGGGGAGAGAGAAGAAAGCTACATATTCGATACCGCCGCAGCAACTCCCTCGGAAAAACAGAGTAACACGAGCGAACGAACGAAACGCGTGCTGCTGCTGCTGCTGCTGCTGCTGCTGCTGCTGCTGTGGCACACAGGGTTGTTGCGCCGTGTCCAGTGGCACCGTTTAAAAAAAAAAAATGACCGACTGGTCTTGTCAAAAGCAAGTGTCACGCGGCCGTGACTCGCATTGTTCTCCCATCCCGGCTCATGTGCATGCATACGCATACAACAAACCGCAGGACGAGGAACATTCCTCCGCTGTTCGTTCGTGCATTTGAACGCAGAGTGGGTTATGTGCGACATGCGATGAAAGGTGACAAAAATAACCTTGATTCATCGTCGTTGTCGCGAAAAAACGAGGCACGCGGCGCAGGACGACGACGGAGAGGAAAAACGCTATCATGTTTGGCCTTCCCTTCCTCCTGTGTGGCCCCGGCTGGCACGTCCAGGAAATTTGTCTCACAAGGCCCGTGTCCAGAAAAAATGGCATGACAAAAAACAACAAATAATTTGGACCGCCACCCGCCGTATTGTTCGACGTTTTTTCGCCGAATTCTGCTCTCTCTCGCCACGACGTTTGTCAACTGCGGTCACGCGGGTTTCTTTTGTTTCTTTTTTATACCATGAGGAGAGCTAACACCGCGCGATTCGTGCAGCAAGCATTTTGGTGCCCCGCTCGGGGGGAGCAAAAGAAAGAAAACAGTCATCATCTGACCTTCGTTTTTCTTCCCCAAAACAAAAGAGAGAGAAGCAATCAGTGCGTTGTACACATCTTCGTTGCCTGAATTATTTCGTCCTCAATGTACTGCGTACTCTTGTCACCACATGCAAAACAAAGAAAGCCGAAGCATGCAAAGCAAAACGCAAAAATAAGTCGCCGATAAAAACACACATCGTGTGCGCGCAGGCCCCCGTCTGCTCAACCCGTACCATCACTCCTTCCGCCCACACAGAGAACTCAACTCACGTTTTTTTTCGTTTAAATCTGTACCCTCTTTCTATACAAAACCAACTAAACGGCCTCGGGATCCAATCCTCCCTCCAAATACACGCCAAGGCGCGAAACCAGGCTTGCAAGCGCAATGATGACAAAAATCAAGCTATTTTTCAAGTGTGTCATCGGGGCAACCACCCAAACCACGCAAAAAAAAACTTGCTGTGTCATCATAGCCCGGCCCCTTCTCAGTCCTCTTTCGTCTATCTGCTCATTGTGTAGAACTGCAATCACTCACTCTTATGTATTGTCAACGTAGATTCCAATGTCTTCACTCGTTCGAATGAATACCCGGCCCCGAACGACCAACACTGTTGCACGAGAAAAGAAACGAAAAAGCGGGGAAATCATTCATTGGCTCTCGGTTTTACGTGCCTATCGCCCCCCTCCCCCCCGTCACAGCTTACCCCACAAGAACACACACAATTTTTCGTGTGGTAAGAAAGCATTCTGCGTGTTATTGGTCTACCACTGCTGCTGCTGCTTTCGCTCAGAATCCGAGGGCTGCAGGAAGATGTGCTTCCAAGAGCGCGGGCGCACACTAAACTACTAGAAAAAAAAAAAACAGCAAGGCCAAAAACGCAAGCAAATGGTTCTTCCAACCCCCGCGCGAAATCCCCCCATGTTTCTCCCTCCCTCCAAGTCCCCACTCTGCATCGCCAGGGGCATGAACAGAGACAAGTCACAGAGACAAAAAACCGTCACACCCGTTAAGTACGGCACCTTGCACGTCAACTCTCCCCCCGCTCCCCGAAAAAACAAACTAATCCCCCAGCATGCATGTGATTGTTTCGTCGCCCACACTTTCCCGTATCTATACAATATGCATTCCACCTCCTAGGGGCTACAGTAGAATAAGTTGTGAGGTTGATGACATCACGGACGCATCTCTCTCGATCAGCATTCATCTGTGGTCTATTTGATGGCATCGTTACCGTCCGAACCTTTCAGAAAGAAAGGGACACGCAAACGACAACAGATAAAAACGAAAGAACGCACCGAGAGCAAGAAACTTGAACAGAACGAAATGGGGTTCCGTCCAATCGGCAGAGCCATCCCCCCCACCCCTAAAGCCCCCTCTAATAATGGACATTTAGGAGCAAAAAAAAAAGACGAGAAACAACACCAACATGCACGCACTCAAACATATCTAAGCCACAAGTTACACTAATCCTCCGTCAAACACCCCTCCCTGTAGCTTCCATCCCCTCTGCCCGCGCACGCAACGCAAAACCTCTTTTTTTTTTTTCCTAGTATCTACACTGCCAGTAACTATTACTTCATCCGTAAACTGCTTCGAACCAAAGCCGGGGGGGCGGGAAACACCACCGTTCCCCCCCTGCCACTCCCAACAGCAAGTCCACATGAGGGAGAGCGGTGGGGGTGCGAGCACCACGCTCGCGGGCCGAAGTCGTCCCTCCAGGCGTGATATCCACACACACACGCAAACACCGCCCCTCCCGCCGTCACGGTGCCACACGTGGTCTACGATGCATCTAGTCGGGGGCCAGAAGAGCAGGCGACCTACAATGGATAAAAAAGAGCCAAGCAAAAAAACAAAAGGAATCGAAGGCTACCACTACGTACAAAACATCCGGTACGCTTTTGGGGGGGGGGGATTGGCGGTGGGACCCCTCAAAAAAAGAAAAAAAAACGCACCAAAATATAATATGCCAAGAGGAACCAACCAACACCACTATATATCCGGTGTGATTTCTTGTTTTCGCCGAAAGAACAACTACGGTGACGCTGTTCTCAGTCAATTCCTTCCGCAATCATGTAAGAGCAATTCCATCCAGCCGACTATCATACGTAGATACATTTTGCAAAGGAGGCCGGCAACGCATAGGCGTATCTAACCCCCCCCCCCCACAAACACTACGCCCCCCACAAAGCACGCCGCCCGCCGACGCGGAATTTTCAAGGAGGGAGGGCTGATAATTTACAAAGCAAAGCGGATTATCCCGTCAAATCATCCCATACGGTATTTGTTGTTGTGTGCGCCACAAATAAGGCTGCCTGAAATATACACCGGCCAGCTACCTCGTCTCCTTTCTCAAGAGCCCACAGAACTTCCTAGTGCTACTGGACGAGGGGCAAAAAAAGCACACGATCGAACACCAACATCGTCCGAATGCCCGAGATCGCCGGGAGAGGGGGAGAAAAACAAATGCAGACCAACAAGGCTACACTAAAATGTTTCTTGATCCCCGGTACACACCCCTAGCTGCCTGTGCTAAATAGCCCCCCCCCCCCCGTGTCATGGCAAACCAAAACACCACTCGACCAAAACTACATGGGTGCCTGCCTGACTTGATTCTGTCAAAATATCTGTAACTGATTCATGTGCCCACCTGAACCCCCCCCCCCCCCCCCCCCCCGCACCCCAAAACTTTCCCCCTGGCCCCAAAAATAAAAAGGCCCCCCTACCGCCCCCTCCCCTCCTTGTGAAACCCGGCCCCAATCCGCCCCCGTTTTTGGAAAAATAATCCCCCACCACCCCCACCTTGGTCCTATAGAAACCCAAACCACCACCAAAAAGGAAAAAAAAACCACCAAAAACCAACAAAAAATAACCCCCCCCCCCCCACAAAAAGGCCGCCCAACCCCTTTTTTTAATGCTCCCCCA